GCACAATGCTAATGTCCGGTCTCGTCCCATGTGACCAATATCATCATGTAATCCTGTCAAGGCTTCTTTAATGAACTCGGCTGGCAAAACTAACTGTTTCTTCTTAATACCATCATAAACAGTTACACGGTAGAGAACTCCATGGCAAAGTACAAGATGGTTGAATTCCCTGGCCAGAGCTATTGGTATATCTTCTGGGATGTTACCTTGATGAATCCCAGCAATGACTTTGTGGAGCACTAGATCCTTGTCCTGAGCTTTCCTCCATTCCCTGAGAGAGACATAGTGGCGATGGTATGTTTGTTGTCGTCGTCATCATCCTGAATGACTTCTGCAGATAAACACAAGCTTTCTACATAAGTTGGAGTTTGGCATCTGTTGCAAATGGCCTTGACAGAAGTTACAGCCAGTGCTTCTTTTTCCTGTTGTGGTAATCTGGAAAGCGCATATGCATCCGCATTACCCGTGCCTGGACGGTACTTGATGTCAAACGTGAATGAAGCTAATGCTGCCAGCCATCTGTGCCCAGTGGCATCCAACTTTGCTGAGGTCAGCACATATGTAAGTGGGTTATTATCTGTCACCACAGTAAAGTTGTGTCCATACAGATAATCATAAAACTTCTCTGTGACAGCCCACTTCAATGCCAGGAACTCCAGCTTGTGTGCAGGGTAATTCTTTTCAGCTTTGTTGAGGCCTCTGCTGGCATATGCAATAACTCTGTTTTGACCATCTTGTTCCTGGTACAGTATTGCACCTAGACCATGGGAGCTGGCATCTGTGTGAACCTCAAATGGCAAAGAATAGTCTGCATAGCCCAAGATTGGTGGTGATGACAGTGCATGTTTCAGTTGTTGGAAAGCAGTTGATTGTTGCTGGCCCCATATCCATTTTGACTTACTTTCTATGCTCTTCTTGTAATGGTGCTTTTTCACTGTTGGAGGAAGTAAATCTGAAAGTGGGCGGGCGATGCGGGAGAAGTTCTTGACATATTTCCTGTAATATCCAGCAAATCCTAGGAATTTACGAACCTCCTCAGAGTTCTTAGGCATTGGCCAGTTAACAATCTTATCGATCTTGGCAGGATCTGTTTGAATTCCGTCAGCAGAAACAATGTGGCCAACAAACTTGACTTGTTCCTGGAAGAAATCACACTTCTTGGCTGCTAACTTGAGTCCACTCTCCCTCAGGCGCTGGAAGATCTTCTCCAGGCGTAATAGATGTTCTTCGAAGGAATCCGAAAACACAATCAAGTCGTCGAGATAAATCATGCAGATCTCCAAATGCAGTTCCCCTAGCATGTGTTCCATTTGCCGGTGGTAAGTTGCTGGTGCATTAACTAGTCCAAAGGGTAGCCGATTGTATTCATAAAAACCCAATGGGCCGACCGTAAAGGCTGTCTTTGCCTTGTGCTCCTCATCAATCTCAATCTGATGATATCCGGACTTCATATCCAGGACAGTAAAGAATTTTGAGCCAGCAAGACGATCAAAAATATCTTCTATTCTTGGTAAAGCATACGCATCCTTCACTGTCCGACGGTTTAACGATCTGAAGTCAATGCATAGTCTCAGAGAGTTATCAGCCTTGCGAACGAGGACAACATTAGAAGCCCAAGGACTGTGTGATCTCCTGATAATACCACATGGAAGCAGCTGCTGTAGATGATCCTTTACCTCTTGGAACATCGAAGCAGGGATGCGTCTATGTCTCTGCTTGAATGGCGTATTATCTGCAAGTTCAATTCGGTGCTTCACTTCGGTATAATGTCCAATATCCAGGTCCCCAGTCCAGAAAATGTCACTGTATTTCTGCAGTAAATCTTCACCAAATTTCCTCTGTTCCTCTGTGACCTTGGGAGAAATCTTGACCTTGTCCAGAGGGTGTTCTTTCTTGTCAGCTACCACCTGTTGCAAGTCGAATGGGGCTAGCTTCTCAATATGAACTGGCTGAAGTTCACAGATGATGGACTTGGGGGATACAACTACTGTCTGATTAGTTAAGTTGGAAAGCTGAACTGGTACTTGAATTTTCTTCTGATGTTGAAAACGGAATAAAGCTGGTGCTATCTCAAGTCCTGGTAATATGGAAGCTCTTTTAGTGGGCTGAATCATGACACAAGTGTCTCGGTAAGGCAGTTCCTTATAGACTGATGTCCTGACCGTCACAGTAGTATTAGGTGGTACCACTAATCTTGATGTTTCACAGCTTCTCATCAGTCCAAGTCTCCCATCATTCCTAATAAGTTCTTTATCCTGCAGAACAATACACCTAAATGCAAGATACCAGGGTGTATGCATCTTGCTACACTGAAGGAAATTAGGTCCAACAGACTCCCTGCAAGAGTCAAGAACAGGAATGAGATAGTTGGTTCCCAGCAAGATAGGTACAGTCATATTATACTGACTGTCTGGGACAACCAAAAACAGACAAGTAGAAGCATGACCAGGGGACAAACCATGAGTTTCAACTAAACCTTCAACATAACCCGTGTAAGGCAAACATTCACCATCTGCACATTCTATGTGAGTGAAGTCAGAAAGAGGCTTTTTCTCCAAGGAGGGTAAATATTCACGATAGAATCTTTCGGAAATGGTTGATACTGATGACCCAGTATCCAAAAGGGCTTTGTGGGAAACACCATTGATGCTAACCATAGCTTCATTTGCAGTCCCAACTAAACCAGCTGGTATGGTAGGACACACAAACTCTGTGGGGCTCTGTCTAAAAGAACCTAATGTCTGCCCCTTGACATTGGCCCTCTCCCATTTAAATTACCACGCCTCAAGTGGTCAAGCCTGACCCTACAACCCCGAGAAATATGGCCATACTGCCCACACCTGTAACACTGTACACCGGATTGCATCTCAAACTCTTGAGGCTGTTGTCTTGTCCTTTGAAAATATTCCTGGTTCCGCGGCTTGGGAGTGGTGTCATCAGAAAAAACAACTTGTTTCTTCTGCTGCTGTTGTGAGTGAGGGGATGACATCTGGCTCATCTTGGTCTCCATGTTGTCAATCCTAGCAGACAGTTGGTTGACCATACCAATCAACATAGATACCTCTGACATTGAATCACTCTGGGTCACTGCCTTGGCTGGGATGGGTTTCTTATGGGTCTCCAGTTTCCTCTGTTCATGGTCGTGCTCAATACGTCTCACGGCAACCCGAAGCTGGTCGAAATTATCAATACTATCAAACTTGTGACCAGAAGAGTCCTTGAGTTCCTGCCTGAGTCCAGACCAGAAAACAGTCCTGAGCACGGAGCTTGATCTGCTCGGCTGAATATGACTCTGAGCAACAAGCCTGTCAAGCATGTCTTCCAGTCTACAGCCCCACTTAGTAGCATCTTCTTTGTCTCCTTGCCTTGCACTGTAGAATTGTGCCGTGAGAGCTTCGCCTTGTTCGATGACAGAAGAGCCATATACACTCTTAAGTTTGTTTAGAATGGAAGTGAGTGAGGCTGCATGACCAAGCCTCATAACAATGCGTGCAGCATCTCCTTTAAGAGCTCTCCTGAGTGACTGCTTAATCTCCTCCTCAGAGTAGAATAAATCAGTTGATAAACTGTCAACTTCATACAGCCAAACATCAATAGGTGTCTCACCCTTAGAAGCAGGATCACCAGAGAAAACAGACACCCGAGGAGGTTGCCTGACGCTGAGTGAACCTGCCAAATTCTGGGTGGGTGGAGTTGGGGGCGAGGGAGAAGGGTTTGCCACCATGCCGGTTATCCATTCTCGCAGTTCCTGTTCAGTCTTGCCTTTAGGTATAACACCTAACTTCTTGAAACTTTCAAGAAAGGATTCAAGCTCTGAAGAGGATAACTGAGACATTGTGCAATTATCAACTATCAAAGTATGCAGTAACAGAAAGGATGAGATCAAAAGGATGATAAGACATCGTAATGAGACTGATGCAGCACCAGGATGCAGGGACAAATCCTCACGTAAATTGTATGTGAGCGCAAACAATGAACGAGATTACACGTTGGGTAATTTAGATGTGTCTTATGACACAATGTAAAGAGAAGTAGCTGTAAACTACATGTTGTATGATTGATTAACATGTATTTACATGGAAATTATGAAGTACCACATGTTTTAACGGTGGTGGTATTAATGATTATAGATTAGTAAGGTATTAATGTGAACAAAGTTGTTAACCCACAATTTATGCCACAAATATATGGTTCTACCCCAAATACATAGAGACCAAAGGACAGAGATGGGACAGGAGAACCAAGATGTGTGGTGCTGTACCTTACCAAACAAACCCGTGTAATACTAACCACTACTGGATATAAAGGAGGTTAGGAAAGTACATACTTACCCAGAAATCAACAAAGTTAAGATATCAACTTACTCGGCAATAAACACTTTTATGGATTATGCCAGATTAACGCTTAATACCAAATTCGATTAATAAGATGGATTAAACCACCGTAAACTAAACAAGAATAAGTTTACGTGACAAAATATACAAATTATGACAATCGGGAACTAATCAGGGAAACTGACACTAACGAGTATGTTAACTAATTAATCTAAACTAAGTGATCTAAACTAATTAATCTAAACTAATTGATCTAAACCAACTAATCTAAACTAACTAATGCAAACTAATTAATCTCACGTGAGAGATGACAGCATATGCTAGCTAAGTATTATGGCAGCAGGAGATACAGAAGAGCTGCAAATACTTTTACCAAGTCGCAGACTAGTCAACCAAGGAATATGTATTCCGTACAACTGATGTCAACATCACAAAGCTTACTGTTTACTAACACGGACTGTATTAGTACATTTCCGCCAATCTTCAGATACAATCTTCAGAGTCAAGTGAATAAATAACAGTGTGTCATGATATTAAGCATATAGAATATTTACATCATATCATCATGTAGATGATATTACAGCACATAATATATTTCAGACATATTATTAAAATGATAAATTAACTAGACTAAAACATCATATCCTAACCTCCTTATGATAATATACATACAAAGACATCCAAAGTAACTTACCCCAATAAGTGCAGTGCTGTGATAAAGGTGAGAGAGTTGGAATTGTTGCAGTCAAGAGAGTTGAAATTGTAGCAGTGACCAGGAAAACTCCAGATCTGGTCACATGCTCTAGAAACAATAGCAATCAATCACTGGCCAAGCCGTGGCTGGGCCAGGAGTCTGAAGTAAAATAGAACCCAATGCAGGCTTACATAACTTAACCAAGGGATTAGTAGAGTGCTGTGTTAATTCAAAGGGTTGTTATATTGCTTAACTAAATTATATACTTAGGTTTAAAATACACAATATTTACATTCTGCTACACATACACAGAACGATTATGTAAATATTGATTACAAAGTGTGTGTGTGTGTGTAAGGGATGTGTGTGTGTGTGTGTGCATCTATAAAATACTATTATACCTTATACTTCTTTATTCGAGTGTGTTGTCGGGCAAAGGCCCATGATACGAATGCAAAATAAACAGTGGGTGTTCACGGATCACATTTATTTAACAAAGATGTGTATGTAGCTTTTACAATGAACACAGACAGGTGTTGTAAAGTAGATCCTAATATGTTCTTAAAGCTATTCAAACAACGCTGTAGAGATATATATTACCAAGAATGGTCATCCGATATTGCAAGCTCCAAATATTTGTATGCATATTCACTATTTAAAAATGACATTGTCCATGAAACATATTTAGAAGTATTATCCTCTATGCAACTCCGCAGATCTCTTTACCAAATTTAGATGTGGCATCAATAAACTCAATGTACAAACCTATAGAAGATCCAAAGATGAAGATATCAGTTCTGCCATGTGCGCTCATTGCGTCAATATTGTCCAGGACGAGTACCATGTTCTATTACAATGTCCTGTTTTTCTTATTTACGAATCAGGTATATACCACAATATTATTGTGTAAATCCCAACATGCAGAAGTTTGTAAATTTACTTAACACCCAAAATGCAAATGTTACTTTACGCCTAGCCATATTTGTAAACAAAATCCCTAACGTTTTATGATACTTATAAATGCCAGTGTACTTCTCATGCCTGCGCTCCAAAGAACATGATGTAATAATGTGACTGTACTATTGGCCTCATGGCCACTCTACGAAATAAATCTGTCTGTCTGTCTGTTGTAAAGTTAAATGTAGTTGATGGACAGGTGACATTTAAACGATAATGTTTGCCTTATTGGGAATCATAATATGTTCGTGTATATTTTGCCCTCAGAAGCTGGTAACATTTACATGTTAGAATAATGGTAATCATCTTCAGAATAATTATATTTGTATAATTTTGTAAAGCCGCTGCCTCAGGGTTCCATTTTGTGTCTACCAGATTCGGTCCGAAGATGATGGGAACTACACCGTATTTTAGTCCAACACGTCTAGATTTCTTGTATGTTAAATAAGTTATGTATTTCTCCTGACCAAAAATGATTGTATGATTTTGAGCTTTCTGATCTGCACACCAGTCTTGGTCTTACGAAGATGTTGATGTACATAGAAAATCATTTGTAATATGGATATTCGCGATGACATCGATACATTATTTATTATTGTTATTGGATATTTATATAGCGCACATATCCACGCACTAGTGCATGCTCAAGGCGCTGGATACATGCCAAACCCTGTCAACTGTAGGATGAATGTACTTTTTGAAGCCGAATTATTTTTACTATTTTGGATCGTCTGGAGTAGCATACATATTATTATAATATTTTGAAGACATCTGGTATTGCAAAATGTATTACACTAATATCGTTTACAAGCAGTCCTATGTTCAAATTTCAGGACTGAGGTAGCCTAGTGGTTAAAGCGTTCGCTTTTCACGCTGAAGACCCGGGTTCGAGTCCCCACCTAAGTCGTCCACGAGTACAATGTGTGAAGCCCATTTCTGGTGTCCCCCGCCGTGATCTTGCTGGAATATTGTTAAAAGCTTCGTAAAACCATACTCACTCCTCATGACTGAAACCCCATATTTCTGACCCGTATAAAATATAGAGGTGAATTTGCTATTATATGTTTTAAACAAAAGACGGCTTAGTTTTGCTAAGGATTCAAGTACTCTCGAATGATACTTTCTTTGCTTTGCATGTTTACCCAATGATAAAACCTATTAAATGTTATGAATACTGGCGTATAACTAGTGCATCAGGTACCTTCGACCTCTACCTATTTTATGAGATAAAATATTTCTGGCTGCTAGTAACAATTACATCTAATAACCGTAACCTGAGGGAATCATTAAAAGATAATGTGAAGCATCTCCATAACAGTGTCAGCACTGACAATATCTTGAGTCATCTAAAAATTAATCATATCCATGGCCTTTCAAATAAATCACTGCATTTGAAAATGTGACCAGGCGGAGAAGGGTACCTGAGACCCTGCAAACTTCCACGAACCCATCAATGATGTTTTCAGTGGGAGCGGTAGCGTTCTGATTGTTTGGATATAAAATTCGATTAACAACAATAACGCCATTATATCACTTAATTGTATTACAGTCAATGTGTAGGTGAGAAAAACTTAGTTCAACCGAAATACGAAGTATGTGTTGAAAGTCAACCATGATAATTTGGGATGCACCTTGATCAACACAGGTTCACCTAAGTCGTCCATAGTTTTGAAATTGAAAGCGGCCACTTTCCGAAAGAAGCCTGCTTACACTTAGTACTATTAGGAGTGTGTAAGGTGTTAAATAGAAATGTTTAATGGCGTCATTTTCAACTTCAAGAACAGAACGAACAATTTTCTCATTGAGACGTCACCACACCGACCCGGAATACCATTCGTCTGCGCATGTACAACAATTCGTTGCAGCCAGTATGAGAATTTTGATTGGATGGGGATTCAGTCAATGGCTTTGTTACAGCCTCTGACGTGCATCTCGCTCCACCCGGGTTGTGCATGAGTCAATAGCCTAATATGTATACCGACCTACAATCAGCTCAGGTTGACTGCCTGTCTTGAATCAACCTTTCTCAGGACTCTTATAAATCATTATTATGAGTCAACATCAGCTAATCATGGTGCAATGTACTCAGTGATAAGTAACCTGGCAAATTGGTTGGACCAGGTACCATTGAATGCATGCACGCACGCCCCCTCCCATACACACGCACACAGAGTTGATGTAGCATATTTGTCCACTAATTGGTGTATTGTCATGCATACACCATATGCAGTCTTGCTCTTACAAAGAAATGTGAAGTGATAAAACAAACAAAAAAACCTCAAAACAACAACACTGAGAATACCTTTACTTTTGTTTTCATAGCACGTAACATTCTATATTTATGAAATTTGAACTAAACCGCTGTTGTCAGCTCAAAGAGACCCGATTCCTATTTGGGCGCCCCTGTGGGGCACAAGACATATAGTGACTATAAAACAAGTTAGTTGGGGAAAAGAGGCGATTTTTTAAGTAATTTATTAGAATATTAACATATTTAGACCCACCGGTGAGGCAAGGACAACCGCTGAAGCATGTTGATATTCGTGTCTAAATCAGCTCTGTCTGCAACCAATCAACGATGTGAGTTTCGGTTCCGGGTGGGCAAACTTCCTGATTGGGTACACAGTCACGTTTCTCTTTGTAAGCCTCTAATCGGAACGCTGGCTCACTGAACGCATTCTGTGTACCTTTCTTACGTATGTGTGAACCGTTATACTATCCCGGTTTTTGTCCCAACTCGTAGCTCCTGTGTATGTAACCAGGGATAACTTCTTTGAGTGGCATTTTAGAAGTTGGGAAGTACAATATAGAACAAACTTTATGGATAACAACTTCTTTTTTATTCGTGAGTGCGACGTTTCGATACAGATTCTTGTACCGTTATCAAGCATAATGGGACATGAAGAAGGGGAAGTGTATATATACTGGATGTAACAATGTAACAAAGAAAACAAGATAATTAACATAACTGGCTAGGCAGAAGGCTGATGAAGCTTGAATGAAAAGAAGTTGTTATCCATAAAGTTTGTTCTATATTAACCAGGGATAGTCTCCCTGATCACAGTTAGAAATTCTGTCAACGCTAAATAATGACATTGCTTTTAAGTATCGAACTGAGAAAGTGACTCGGTAAGAAGAACGGGTGGTGAAATAGACAATAATCTATGGCCGGGTGGGACAACTTAGGAATGGCCAGCGAGTCCTAACTTGACACACAGAAGGAAGCGAGCTACAAAGACATTATTTATATCATTGAAAAGATCTCGAGGAGATGAACCCAAAAAGTTCATGTGCCAGTGCGCTCACGTGTTCATATGCTCACAAATTGGCTCTGAAAATGCATTTCTGCAGAAATTTCTGGCAGAATTTATTTTTTCCGCAGAAATTTCTGGCAGAATTTTTTTTTTACCGCAGAAATTTCTGGCAGAATTTTTTATTTCACTACCAGAATTATCTTAATTGAAAATATTAGACACCATCTTTGGATAATTCAGTATGGACTTTCTTCAAATGATGTTGTTTTCTCTTGTAAACAACTTCAAGTGGGAGGGGAAATGGTTCCCAGAAGTAGATCGCCGCACAAATCTTACAAGGCATGTTTTAACATATTATCAAGACGAAATGAAAATAAAAATAATTTGATTATTTCTTTATACATCGTTTATTCACACTCTGTATTACATGAGTTTCATTGGGCTAAGTTGCATTCATTTCATCTCTCACATGAGTGCCGTTGTCCCTTTGGTATGGTTTATGTATCTCTATTGTTTGTATAGTCACTGAACTGTACAATGGAACACTGCATTGTATATGGCAGATGTGTACTCTAGAAACCACAATGAAGCTATTTTTCAAACAGTCTTACAATAATCGAATCAGGATTAGGTGTCTTCCCCTTAAGACGACATTTGGTATTACAGTGTTAATGTTTCGCCGAGGTAGACTCATGTTGTTTTAATGGATTAGTGAGGTGGGTTATACTATAAACTGAACTGCATAACGAAATCGGTGTTCATTTTCATGATATCAACTCACATTGTAATATGAACATGATTTCAGCTCACTGCTTATTAATTGACATTGATTTATTTAAAAAAATGACTAACTGATTGACATTGATTCACTACTACTGATTGCCTTTGACACTGATTTTAATTCACTAATTATTTGTTGATATTTACTCACTAATTATTATGGGTATATTTCCTGCTTATCCGCGCAATCCAATGCATTACTTTCGAAATGGCAAATCAGCAGTTAGAGTACAAGTTCATTCCAACCTCACGTGGAGGAAGGTATCTCTGTATAGATGGATACATGTTTAGAGTGAGTCACAAACGCAATGCTGCATCGCGGATATCATGGATGTGCCTAGATAAGAACTGCACTTAAACTATATATTTCTACAGTTGAATAATGACATTCAAATGTATATAAATTATTTGTTATCGATAAAATGGTCACGGATAAAAATGTCATATGTATTTTAAGGGGTGTAAATAATGGTTCGAGGGAGTATTTCATTTATTTACCGGTTAACAATTTAGAATCATCCATGTACTTAAAATCACACAGAACCTCCGTTGTTCTCCAGAGACAGTCGACTTGAAAATCCTTGCATGCTCCACTGATTTGTTGTTTCAAACATCACAGTTGTCGTCTTCCCGGGAATGAACTAACAGAACGAATCTTCCATAGGTAGTAGGCAAGTGGTGAGTGTTCAGGTCAAGGGTTCTGATTACAATATTATTATGTTGTGAATTGAGACAGGGATGCATGTATATACATATTGTATAAAACTTGAAATGTTTCACTTCTTCAAATCCTGCATTATGTTGTGAAAAGTTTGTGTAATAACGTAATGCGGGTAGAAAACATGTGTTCTAGACAGTAGTAATAAACTATCCCAACAAATACCATCCTGTGTAAATACTCGTAATGACTCATTATTTGGGAGAGTGTGTATTTGACCGTCCTTTCACCTGTATCAGATAATTTATGAGACACCTGCGTGTGGGCCACTTCTTGTTTATTTTAGGTAATTAGCAATCAGTGTGATCAACTGATCTGGATCTGATCTTGTTGGGCTTGGGGTATTTGCATCAGAATGACAATAACTGATTCATGATCAGGAAACTAAAACTATATACACTTCTGTTATTACCCCCAAGACCGGTTTGAGGAATTTCAACAATTCATATCATCATGACACTAGACAATACATTATATGTTTTGGTTCAGTTCTGTGTTACATATATTCGATACACTATGTTTCAGGTGTACAAGGTCGGTTAAAGTAGCTTGTATATATATACATATTATACAACAACGTTATGAACAGCAATTATGATTGTATGTTTCATTGGCATTCTAGCATGCGGCTTCTTAATCATTTTGTTAATAGCAACTTCTTGTTCATTGCATAAAGCAACGTGTGACGAGCGCTGCGAATGTAGTTACTGACGAAGGGTACTACATACCATAGCCTACGAATGGCTGACCACGCTATAGACTTTATCAATCAGCACCCGTTTTTTTATGACTGTTTTTACAACTTAATCCGTCCTGCTTATCGGCTTCATGGCTGTGCTATTTATTGTTCTTACTTCCCACCTGGCCTCGTCCAATTATCTACCCCTTGTTTTTCAAGTACACGATGTTTGTCACAGCATTCGATCATTCTAATCACTTGGTTTTTGTCACCGTTAGCTTGAACATGGTGTGAGAACCTACACAGAAACGTTGCTTCAGTTATCAAGTACTCACAATAACATGTATCTGTGATTTGCCGACTTAACGAATAGAGATATTTTCACCGTCTGCCTGAACGGTCTTGCAGGATGAACAACGCGTTCTTCTTGGCTAATCTGCACACTACACCATACACACACCATTTTTGCACATCTTTTTTGAGAAAGGTTATTGGCGTTGCAAAACAAACACAATGGTGTACACGACCACCCACACCTCCCTCCACGCCCCACTGGGTGTTCACGTAATCTGTTGTAAAGCGTATCAACATCCCAGGCTACGGTCCAAAGTCCAAATATATTTCAAAGAACGTAGGACTGGTAGTTAAAATATTTATAGACAGGCAAGACAAAATAGTTTATTTTTGTGTCACGTGAATGTACATGTCAAAAAATGGCAACGGTAAAAAGACATAGAAAAATACAGACACCAGGCCAGATGGCCAATGAGACACACTAGACAATATGTGCATAAAATGTATAAAATATAAGATTAAAACATTAAGGAGTATCACTCATATGAAAGACCCAAGGAAAAAGAAAGAAATTTATAGGGATGATAGCTTACGCCGGTACATACGGCTAACTAAAGCGGCCAGTGGATTAACAATAATTTCTGTTTGTAAGAGGAGTGTAGCTTGTTCAGTGTTTGATAACTGAGCAAAATGTGGGTAAAAGATACTAGTTTTTCTAAACAGATCATACCGAAGATCAGAATAATAAGGACAGCTAACTAAGAAATGGACTTCGTCTTCGACAGCCTGACTACTACAGTGGCGACAAAGCCTGTCTGACAATGGCTAATAGATGTAGACATGGATTTAGTTTTTAAGCAGCACCTCCTCTTGAAACACATGCTTAGTACATAACTACTACACTATATGTTATATGATGTTCTGTATTTGATATCGTTTAGATATATTATCAATCCATTGCGTAAGTGTCCTCGATGTATTTTCACATTGTTTTGTCACTGAACAACACTCTCCATGCTGTTGCTACCGAGATCATAATATAGATCTTATCTATTTTATGATTTGTGTTGTAATACGGGTGGTAGGACAATAGGCCCACAAAGACATAACACCCTCAGACAAAACACCCCTAGGCTAAATGCCTCCATGACAAAAGCCCTCAAAGGTCCTCAATGAAGAGATGTAATAGAATACCAACAAATCTTTTTTTCATTCCCACATCAATACAATATAATATAACATTAAATAGCATATGTAACCATGCCGTCATATGATTCCGTGGTACTTAGGTTTCCGTGGTATTTTCTAATGACATAATTTCTCACGAGCCACTCGCCAAATCGCGCCACCTATCGATTGTTTACGTTCATCAGTTGATCGGCACAGCTCTGAGCAAAATATGTTCAGACTTTCATCAATTTGCGTACGTACAGTCATCTACTATTAAACCTAATGCAACTTTATGTCTATTTATGCTGAAGAAATGTGACTATTGTGTTAATTCTACAAAATCGTTTACTGTATTACAATTTAACAACTTCGATATTACTGTAAACCTACATTGACACTCTCGGATCGGCTGTTGACAATGTGTAAGATTGTGACATGTGCTGTGCGCAATTTGATCTGAAGGAAATACCACGGAAACATACGACGTCACCAAGTTGTGCACAATGGCCGCCTGTCGTCCGATACGGACAACAATGAACTTCAGAATGACAAAAAGTGTTTTATTGACATTAAATGATACAAAGGTATGTCGTCTAACACTATATTATGTTTATATGACTTTGCAATATGAGCGATCATATTCATAGTCGTAAATTTCTTAATACCACGGAAACCCATTACGCGAGGGAATAGCACATACTTCACAAATGTAAATCGACATGCACATAATGCAGTTGTGCAGTTGATACTTGTGCTACAGTTCATACCAGTCTAATATTGTGTCCTATACCAGTCAAAAGCGAGTGCTGGGAACACCGTCACCAATAGCCGGCCGCTGGATTCCAAACATTAAAGAAGGTAGCAGGAAATCAGCAATTCATTTAAATAATAATAGCGCTGACCATCTTAATAGACCATCTTAATAAACACCATGTTCATTGACATACCACAATGAGTACCTGCCCAACGAAATCAAACATAAGAGGAAGTGACCAATTTAAGCCAGTTCTCTGAAACAACATTTAGCAGACTTCATTCCATTGTTTAAATAACAACATCGTCACTGAGGAGCCTGTAACAACTATCAGCAGTGGAGGAATTGCTTAGAAAACATCATGTTATCACCTGTCAACTCAAAATATACACCGAGGGTGTTTTATCCTATGGGTTGAAATTTGCAAGGGCTTTTGTCCTGGGGCATTTAGCCTAGGGGTTTTGTCCGAGGGCTTTTTATCCCAGTGGGCTTATTGTCTGCCCACCGTAATACGAGTGTGAAAGGAAACATACAATAAAAAAAAATATTCCAATCACGAATTAAACGCATATGATTTGCACACCACCATTTGATTTTAGAGCCTCACGTCAGTGACTTACATTCATATCGTTCTTTCAACACATTTTCGCTTCATGGATGACAACGTCTTTATTATATAGGATGCGGCGTTTCAGTATAGATTCTTATACCGTTGTCAAGTGAGACTGAGGAGCTGTAGCAGACTTATATATACATCAACATGGATTAAGCAGTTCAAATCCACGGACACAAAACCCTCCATTAACAAAGATGAAGGATATCTCATCCCATCTGCATACAATGAACTGATAGCAACAACTTAGCAGAGCATTCCAGCCATGTATATTTTCTACCTCTTGGACATTTGACTTCCTCCTGTTGTCACTGCTTTATTACCACTATTCTATAGTTGTTGTTGAATACATGACATGTTATATAGTTCTTGCTGTTAATCCCTTTGATGCATGCCTACATGTTGCTTTACTTAATCCCTGTAAAGTCTGATCTGTGCAAAGAGTGGGCACCTGCTCCTTTGATAATTATGATTACCCCCTCTAATTGAGATTTGTCAGTTGCAATGAATTATAGTAACCCTTATCGTAAATCACCCATCCTCCCATTCATGCATATAATTCTTTTTTTCGTATCTTAGTTATTTCAGTCATGTGAAAATTTTTTGTGACAACACTAGACACTGAGCCGTTGCCTACCTTTTCCTGTACCACATAAAATCTGCATGGTATGCGGGTTTATATTGTTATTTGAGTTCGGCAGACAATGCACACCTGTTGTTGCTGCAGGAC